CAAACCATATGCGTCAAATGACGTCTTAATGACGTATTATTGACGTCTCTAACGTCAGTAATATGTCATTAAGGCGTCATTTGATGTCATATGGTTTGCTGGGATATACCATGGCGCACAGACTTAAGCTACGGCTTTGTTTGAGTGGTATTCAGGTAGAAATGCTGTCGGTTGTAAAAAGTGTTAGGTACTCAGACAACATAATATCTAAAATTTGGACATCAGACGAAGATAATCTTTAAGACGCCTTAAAGATATTTATACGTAAATCGTCTGAAAGACCTCTTAAAGATAATCTTTAAGACGTCTTATGTCCCAATTTTAGACATTATGTTGTCTGGATACATTCAGCGATCTTTTCTATTGTTCGTTATCGATCCTAGCGTGATATTTGAAATCAAGAAAAAGCATCGGTGAAAAGAACAAATTAAGTGCGAAAATGATCGACAAACTCACTCTATATTACAGTCTTGCAATCCGCAGGAATCATTATTCCGTTGAAAAAAATACGAATTGCTTTTTCTTCTGATGTTTTGAAGACAATTCATTCTTTTTACGATGACCTTTCAAAAGAAGGATTGCTGGAACTTTGTCTCGACGGGTTTACTAAAAATTCAAACGAAAATTTGAATAATTTTATGTGGAGAGTGGTCCCAAAAACGACGAGAAGCAATGCTGGAATAGTAACAATTGCATCAAATATTGCAGTTTGCCTATTCAACGAAGGAATAACATTATTATAAAAAATTATGCGACGATAGACGTTATATAATTGGCGTTACAATACGCAGCCTCTTATAATAACCGCTGCGTATTCGCATGCAACACGCGACTCAAGAGGCACGTATTCAACGAGGAGGCTTCAAAAAACTAAGTGCAGGATAATTTCGCTCTTGTTGAAGATTCTTTTATGGACTAAGAAGAGACGATGACATGTAAGTTGTAAAAAAACAATATTATCTACACGTAAACTTATTGTAAAACTTCAAACGCGTTTCCTTCAAAATCATGTTTCTCAAACTGGGCACGGGTTTTTGTCGAAAATGACGCAATCGATTTAAACGGGGGCTTTTTTCTACCTATTCTACATTAAAATTTTCACATCCTATCGAAGACTTTTTTTACTTTAATTTTTTCTATAATTTTCTTAAGTTATAAAATGGAAATTTATAATATAGAATAAATAGAAAAAAATATGCTAATTTTTTAGGCAGAGATATGTATATGCACCTTAATATCAAGCGTGGATATAATGTTCGGCTTGAGATTCAATTTTTTTATTAGCCACTAGACACAGGTCTGTTTATATTTGTCACAATTGTAAAATTGTATAAAATTACTGATCGTCACACGTTGGATATGCATGCGCGCAAACACTTTGTAGTACTAAGTGGAAGAAGAGCTCGCTTACATTGACAACATATGTATCTTCAAGATACATTCGTAAGAGATAAGTTGAATGTTTAATCTCATGTTTTGTATTAGAATACATGATGTCATGCTGACTATTAATATGATCAGGAAAAATACGAACGAACGAACGAAGAATAAAAACGAACGAGAAAGAAGATTTACTGGATAAGAATTGTTAATTTGAAAGCGAGAAAATGATAACTCGTCCGTCAGCTTTAACCTAGGTTTTAATTATCTGGGAGTAATTCCCTTAGCTTGAATTTCGGCATTATTTTCTTCTGCAATAAGGGTGACACACATCGCGGTAAAGAAATTATATGAACAGTTTGATTCTTGTGTTCATTGAGCTGTATATTTTGAAAATGATGAAAATTCGCTTATGTTTTCTTCAAGATATCAAAACATTTTACATTAAGATATTTCACGAGTTTGAAAATAACTATGCCTTTAAATGAAGAATTTTATTATAATTTTATTATTTTTATGATTTTTTTCAAAAACGAACTTACATAATTGTCTAACTAAACGACTCAATTATTGACGAGAAAAATGTGAGAAGTACAAGAAATACTAAGCATTAATACTATCGTATATACTTAGGTTAACGGTAAAGCTTTACAAAATAATTGTTTATTATTATATTACAGAGAAAAAGTACTAATACAAAATGATAATCGAGATAATAATCGGGCTTTTTATCGCTATCCTCACCCTAGGGTATGTTTATTACAAGTACGTGATATTCAATTTCTAGCGAAAAAGGAATGTATTTTATGTCGACCCTGTTGTACCAACTGGCAACTTAACAGATGTAACTGAAAAAATATCAATGGGCAAGTATCATTGCATGATGTTAATGATGACTTCAATAATTGAAGAATCTTGTCAAAATCGAAAAGTAAAGCGTCTACCACCTACTATATCTAACAAAATTATGATTGATTTGTATCTTCTTGAAATTCCCACGAGAGAGAGAGAAAGAGAGAGAGAGAAAGAGGGAGAGAGATGTAAACAAATATTCTTATACAAGAGACTGACAGCTGTACTATTTGGTACAGTAATAACATTGTTTCTCTCTGTAGTCGACGTGCGCTCAGGATCGAGCCGGAGATGTCGCTTTCGAAGGGTATCTCTTAGAGATCCTATAATAAGAGTCTGACCATGAGAGGAATTCTGACAAAATTCTTCGAGAGAGAAAGATATATATTTCCTAGAGGGTTTCCTAGGAAACATATATCTTTTTCTCTTGAAGGATTTTGCCAGAATTCCTCTGATGGCCAGACTCTTATTATAGGGTCTCTAAGAGATACCGTTATCTAGGGAACGTTATCTAGGGAGGGGAGAGAGTCGTGAGCGTGGAGCGTCAGGTAACTCACAAGGGAACAAAAGCAACCCGAAAATTCTGAAAATTCTGAAACATTGTGCAAGTAGAGTAGTACATCCATAACATAAAACTATTTTTTGTTTCTGCTAAATTTCGACTTAAGAGAGTGAAACCTCGAAAAAACCCTCGAAAAAACATAACATTTTTATTTTTTGCGAATATTTTCTAAAATACAAGACATATGAAAAAATAGTTTATATAAAAGTGATAGAATATTGTATACTCTTTGCAACAGTGTATTCAAATTTTGCAAAAATGAAAATTTCTTGAACCCCCCTTTGCCCACTTATTGGTTTCAGAGCTTGTTGTCGGATAATTGCTGCAGATTTGCAGCAAAAACCGCGCAGAGCTTGTAGCGATTTGACGGCAGATTGGCGGCAGAAACCACGCAGACCTTGCTGCGCTGCAAGCTTTGCGCGATTTTTACTGCAAATTTGGCACCAATTGCCCGACAGTAAAATCTGTCGCCAAAACCGTAGCCTAATGTAGACATAGTTATAGATAGCTATGGTTTTGCTGTGGGTTTTTGATCAAATTTGCTGCCAATCTGCGCGCAGTCTGCGCTCAATTTGCTTACTGGGTTCATATTTCTTTGGGCAGAGACTCTACGGAAATATCCGCCTCTACCTATCTTGAATCGTATCTGCACCAAGGAGATAGTTCTTCCAACGACAAACGTTCTCATACCGGAAGGGACCATGATTACTATACCAGTATTCGGAGTGCAACGAGATCCATCAATATATCCGGATCCGGATAAATTCGATCCTGAACGTTTCAACGAGGACCAAGTGGCGGCGAGACATCCTTACGCTTACTTAGCTTTTGGAGAAGGACCGCGAATCTGTATCGGTAAGAATAAATCGATCTATCTGTATTATGTTTCTATATATTTTTTTTTTTATTCATTTATACATGTATTGATTTCTTCAGTTTTCAAGCTGATATAAATCTTCTGATATTTATGGCATCTAATTTAATTACGGTATTAATTTTAAACGTACGGAGTAATTTTAAAGATATTCGATTGGTAGTTTGTTATTGTCGCTTTAGATAGTCTGTTTGTTTTACTTACGACTAAGAATATATTTCCTTGAGTCTGAACTCTGTTAACATATGGATCTTTTTAATTTTCAGGTGCAAGATTTGGTTATGTTCAAATAAAGGTTGGGATTATAACTGCTGTCCAAATACAAGTTTAAAGTGCATTCCCAAACTTCTGTACCTCTAATTTTTTATAAATAAGCAGTTTTGCTCATGGTCAAGGACGGTATACATCTTATTATTGAATCGCTATAGACTAAATGCGGCCTTTACTTTTAGATGATAAAAGGAATTCTGAATATGGCTTAGAGCTAAGTGTTATTTATTAACATCAAAAAGGAGATACTGGTTCTCTATTAATAAATATTATAAGAGAATATTAAATTAGAGAAGTAAAATGTTTTTTCATATATTTGAAAAATCGTGTATATGGATATAGGATATCTATACAAAATATTTTTGGTAACACATTTAAATATCCTCTAATAATATCCTTAGACATCCTGGAAATGCTAAAAATGATTCATGTTTGCCCAAAATCTTCTCCTAAGGGTCTAAACTCATTTGTTGATTTCTGAAATGGAATTATATGGTTTTTTGCGATTATATATACCTATATATTGTTATTAATGCGCACAATTTAACTATTAATGTGAAGTTGAAAAATATATTACAATATAATGTAATTCAAAAGTAAGATCGTAGTACATGTCATAAAATTTAAATAAAACAGATATGTTTACACTCTTTTGCATATAATATATTTAAAACAACTTAAGGTCTCCAAATTATTAACATAATTTATAACTTCAATAAAGGAGAATTCTCAATTTAGTTTGTGTTGGGTATGGGAAAAAGTCCGTGGCGTTTGGCATTAGATGGCATTACATACTCAGCACTTGGTAACTACTAATCGCATCGACAACACTAGACACGCGTGACATTTCAACCTTTGTTTTGAGCCGAAAAAGATTGAAATCGGTGAAGTGGATCAAAAGTTATTTTATTTTGAAAATGGAGATAAATAAGGAAAAAACTCGCTACATTTTGCAGTATCACTACGATGAAGAACACTGCACAGGCTTGTGAAAAAATTTGTGAAGATACTCTATCAAAATCAGCAGCATGGAAATGGTCCACTCGCTTTCGTGAAATTTCG